TTCATTCGTGCCGAACCTGGTCGTGGTGCAAGGCGCGGCTGATGCAGAGTTGGAGTCCAGTCACCTCGGAAAGCTGCCTGAGGCTTGTCGCGAACTTCGTCCTTGACATCGCCTTGGGTCGCCGGTGGCATCGGGGTCGATGGTCCAGCAAAAGCCTTCCTCCTCTCCGTCACGGACAGACCGGGAGGATCTACCAGCTCAGGGTCGTCCGTCTTGGCGATCCCTCTGGCCTTCGCCCGCCCTCGTGTGCCTTCGGGGCTCTTGGACGGGTGCCTTTTCGCAGGAGTCGGTGAAGACGAGGAGTCGGCTTCAGGTCTTGGAGGTGGTCTGCTGCCCTTGCCCGGTTGTGGACCAGGAGGGTCTTTAGGAGGGCCTTCTGGCTGGCCATGATCATGGATGATCTGCCTCATCTGGTCGATGTCGGCAGTACCTTTTATGGCCAGCTTGTACTTGCCATTTTCGTGGCGGTGAATTACCCTCGTGCAAAACCACTTCTGCGCCGAAGAGCTGTAGTACCAGCAGGCGCATCCATCAGGGAATGGATTCTCTGAGCCGTCTTCCGCCGCCCATTCTTCATTCAGTTCGGTGTGGTCAGTGCCGGCGGCGGACCCAGCAGCAGATGCAACAGCTATCCAATCTTCGTCCGCGGACCCAGCGGCTGGCGCCGCGTCTGCGGGTGACCCCGCTTCTTTGCTGGATCCTGCGGGTGACCCCGCCTCTTTATGGAATCGGCGGTTCCATTCCTTGAGGCGATGGTCATTGGGAAGCTGTACCCAATTTTCCCTGACGATGTTGGCCACCTCTTCGGTCATAGGGACGCGATCGGCTTCTGTGATGCGCTTTCCTCCTCCAGGGACCTCCTTGTTAGGATCATGGACGTTGCCAGCGTCATCTCCATGAGACCAATTCCACGGGGTCTCACCGTGATGAGGACTCCTGGAGGGGCGGTCCATCGGACAACTGCGCATGTGACCTTTGAAGGGCTCGCACTGACATACTTGTTTCCTGTATGTCTTGCGATCGTTGATGATCTCCTGTTTCTTAGCCCTTTTGTCCCAAGCCTCTGGCGTTTTGGTCTTGCCACCCTTGGTGCGTATTATCATGCCAGTTTCGTCCCTTTTGGTGCAGTATTCCTTAGAATACCAGTGGCGGATCACGTCCATCGAGTAGCCGGGGTACCAATTGATGTACCACTCCGGCACGTACTGAGCGGATACACCAACGGAGTGCTCAGTACTGCACGGGTAGCCCGATGCATCATGTGTAGGGCGTCTGGGAGCTGAACGGCTCCTCCTGCGGGCTGGCCCCGCTGACGCACTACCACGTTCCATTGGCCTTTGATCGTCATGCTCTGAGTCTCGGGGAGGCGATGGTCGTCTGTCCCTCTTGGCGTAGCGCATGTCCTCCGAGTCCTCTGAGCTGTCCTGGACCATGAATACGTGTTGATACGGGCTTCGGAAGTACCCGATGTCGTTTAACTGCTCCATCGTGAGGTCGTTGAGGTCCATCTGGTCGCAGCCCTGCATAAATACATCCATAGACCAAGCGGGTGGCCCCGCTGCTGCGGCTGGCGTCACTTCGGCGGGTGACCCCGCTAGAGCCTGGAGTGCTGTCAGCATCTGAGGTGCCGACATGTCCGAATCCAGGTATGGACGCAGCCGCGCGGCCCCTGGGCGCGACAGCAGGTCGTTCATGGTTATCTGCTGATGTGCTGGCGCACTCAGGAGCCGGATTGCTTCTGCGACCTGCTCTTGGAGCATGTCCTTATAGTCCTCTTCGGCCTCTTCGGAGTCAGAATACGCGGGATGGCCCCGCATTTCGTCATCAGCGTCTCCCGCCTCCGAGCCAGCTCGCGAAAGATCTGGCAGCAACGGCATGCCAATCACCTGCGGTGCCAGCGCGGCGGCGAGCTCTTCCTCGGTCGCCGGGACGGTCTCAGCTTCGGAGATCTCGTCGTCGGCGGGTGGCCCCGCTGGAAGACCGAACCAAGCATTGAACGCGACCTCGTCGACTTCGTCCCAGCCGTGGAACTCGTCGAAGAGGGTCACTGCGTAGTCTTCCAGGGCTACGGTCACTTCAGCGTAGCGGGCCATCACGTAGTACGTGGAGGAGCCCGCAGCGGGAGCCGCTTCTGGATTGACGTAAAACTCGTAGTCAATGTAGTCTATGTCATCCATAAAAGAATTTTGAGCCAAATGTACGGATCCCTTTCCTTTCCCCTTCGGGCATTGATCGCGCAAGTGCTCTGTGCTACCGCATGTATGACACTTCATAGTATTGCCAGAAGCGTCCCTAGGGTTGCCCCTCCGCCCTTTTCCCTTACCGGAGGTCCGCCTGTGACCCCGACCTTTGCCTCCGATAAGAACTTCTTCAAAGACTATATCAGTTAAGGACGTGAGGAAAGCAGTAATACCCCTACCATGCATACGGCGTCTGCGACCCCCTTTGCCACGACCCTTTCCATATCGTTTGAAATGTCGGCGTACTGCACGTCTCACTTTTCTGACTGGTTTCTTCATAAAGCGCCTCCAACGGCGTTTTGATTTGCGATAAGCCATAAAAGCGGCTTCCGCTCTTTGTTGTTCAGAAAGGTGAGTGTCATCCGCTGGATAGTCATTACCAGCAGAGACTATGCCATTGTGCTCATCGTCAGATGAGGTATCTGTGTCAGTGCCAGATTCAAACGGCGAGGGTGGCTGATACCCTTGAGCGGATGACTCCGCTTGGCCCCAGAGGGTTGTGCCCGAGGGCGGGCTTGCAGTGTAGGCGGCGCCTGGCGAGTAGTTCGACCAGGCGTTCGCCTCAGCTGCCTCTGCCGATGCCTGGCCGGTCTGCCCTAAGAAGGCAGTGGCCTCGTTGGGCATATCGGCTGGGTCAGCCCAGGGACTTGGCTCGCCAGGACCAGCGGGTGACCCCGCAGTCGTGGCGTAGACACCTGCATGTGAGTGGTGCCCTGTGAAGATACCCGCAATGTTGCCAGGAGAGCGCTCGGCAACATGTCCGTAGTTCCTCATCCTGGTCAGCAGCCTGTCATAGTCTGCTTGTGTTCTGGGCATCTGATGATTAAAAGGCTCCAGCAGGTGTTGGGCTCGTGACGCGCCAACGCCTAACGCTCTGAAAAGGATCAGCGTTAGGATCTGAAAGTTGGGGATGACAAAGCCAACAGAGTTAGCCTCGTCACGAGCCATCTCGAATCGAGCTAACACTGAGTCGATTCGCTCGCCCCTTTCGACGCGAAAATCGATAAGGGCAGTGCCAGAGTTGAGCTGGCGCTCATCTTCCAGATTTTCAAATTTGGTGCTCAGTAATTACAGTATATATGTAACTGCATCCGTTGGCTGTCCATTGACAGTTACACCATAGTTGATGATCTGGGAGGGGACCTGCATGGCGATACGACGAGCAAGACCTTGAAGGCCTCGTTGTAGTGCTGCAGCTTGTTGAGGGGGCGTCATATTGCCGCTCGTTACGTTTATCCATGCATGTACTTCGCGAACGTATTCGCGAAAAGGCGTAGTACCGGCAGGGTCCCACGAAGGGCCGGTAGTACGCGTGTCGTCCATCCCCTGCCGCATGTATCCCACAGCACATCCCATTATTACCCACAGAATGCCGAAGATAGTTATCTTAATCCAGTGCATGTGCATTTCGGCTTCGGTGATTGGTTTAGGCTGTGGTTTGTCAGGCTCTGGCGTAGTAGCCGTGAGGCGCCTGACTGGCACGGGATGCAGGTGGCCCCGCTGCGGGTAGCCCCGCAGGGTGACCGCGTTCTCGATCGAGTTGCCGATTGGCATCTGGTGGAAGTCGAGAGTGAAGTAGCGCAGTGAAGTAGGAGAGAGCGTCTCGAGTTCGCGGGTTGCCCCGCTAGCTCGATCGCGGACTGGCTCCGCTCCTCGCAGAGCCGGCGCAACATGGTATTCCACCGTAGTAGTAGTCCACCAAGTTGTGCCGTGGATTACAGGAATCAGAGCGAGAGCCAGCCACACGAGAGTGTAGCCAGCTCCGCTACCAAGTCGAAAACGCACTGGTAAGCTTAGGTATATATTACGCCTTAGGCGTTCCCATATCCCAGGCTTTGGCTCATATCGCATGAGCAAGAGAGCAAGACGAAGCATGGGATCTGGAGTAAAGGATAGGATGGGCATCGTCAATGGAAAAGGTATTTTCCGATCTCAGATACAAGTCGTGCGCCTCGGTGAGGCACAATCACATATTTGGCCGGGCCCGGCTTGAGCCAGGCACGGCAGCGGTACATGCTCGATTTATACCTCGCCTTTAACCTTCTCCGTTTAAAGTTCGTGCACGTAAGAAGGTGGCAAGACAGAAGGTCAAGAACCGATAGTAAAGATGAGTCCCCATCGGTCGGAAGAAGTAGGTAGAAACATGAAGTACTCCGTGTCCCTCAATAGTTCTGGGTCCCCGGACTACGGGTACCCCCCGGACTACAGGTACCCTCCCCGGACTACAGGTACCCCTCCCCCGGACTACAGGTTCCCCCCCCGGACTACAGGTACCCCCCCCAGGACTACAGGTACCCTCCCCCGGACTACAGGTACCCCCCCCCGGACTACAGGTACCCCCCCGAAGCTTCATGTGCCCCCCGAAGCTACACGGCCACCCGAGTTGTCTACCCCCTCCGAGCCGAAACGGTCCGCCTGGAGTGTTTCTGCCCAGTGCCGCCCATGCTACTTAGGCGCAGTTCGCCAATGCTGGGTCGGAGCCCGAAGCGGGGCACTCGCGAGGGACGAATGGAAATGCAGGGGGGAAGATAACGACAACAAGTAACAGAAAGAGACAGAGCAGGAGAAAGAGGGAGGTATAGGGAGGGGTGTGTATGTATATATATATATATATAGAGAGAGAGAGAGAGAGAGAGAGAGAGAGAGCGAGAGAGAGAGGTACACATATACATATATACCAATTCAAAGCAACAAGAGCGATATCTATATATGAATATACATATATATAACCATAGAGCACCAACGAGCGCGCGCGTGCTCGGGCGCGCGCAATCTTTCGCGCGGGGAGAACGCGCGGCCATCCGCTCGCTGTGCTTTCAAAGGGACTCCGAAACCCGAGCGCCGACTCAGCTGGCCTCTAAGTGCCTCCTCACTGCAGGAATGCTGTCGAACACCTTCCCACCTGGAGAATGCCAATAATAATCAGTCTTGCCTGCTGAATCCCCTGTTTTGCGGATCTTGGAGGACGTCCACCAGCCAGCTGGCAGCTCGAACTCTTGGCCCTTCCCCGCTGGTTTCTTAGACACGGCCGCAGGCCGCTTCATGGCCCCAGCGAGCTTGCCACTCATGGCCGGCTTCGCTCGCAAGACTCCTTGCTCGATGTCGGATTGCTCCTCTGGCATGTGCATGTCGTGGTATTGGTCAAAACCGAGCGTCTCCGGCATGGGCAAGGAGTGCTCGGCAGCATCTTAGGCAAACGATTTTTGGTAGTTCTGGACGGTGCGTTGGATGGCTTTCCGCAGCCTGGGGGACCGAACATATTCCAGGGAATATGCTACATGGCCGGCTGCTTGGATCCTGCCCGAATGAAGAGCGGTAGGCCTCTTTTTTGGGCCGCTGCCCACGTCAGGAGTTCTTGGCGCTGCTTCTCCATCCTCGTCTCCTTCCCCGCCGTCCTCGTCGCCGTCTTCGTCGTCGCCCAGAGGTTCATTGTCAAAGTCCCCCAATTCGACGTCCCAATCGTCGTCTTCCTCTGGAACCCCGCCTGGGTCGAGCAGCGACTCCTCCAACTGGGCGATCGTTTTGGGCCCTTTGCCAGTAGCTTTCAAGTCCATGAGGTTCTGTCGGAACTTGGACAGCTGCATCTTGTTCCATACGGGCCTCAGCTCTCGATGGAGCAGATGGTCCTGTTGGAGGGCGGGGAGGGGGAATTGGAACGGGGAGTGGGGAGGGGCAGGAGGCATCGCAACAGAGGCTCCTCGGATCCATCCAACGCCAGAAGCAGCCCGTTCCGCTTGAATCCGAGGGCGATCTTCTGGAAATCGAGCTGCTCGTGCGAGCCGAGTGCCCATCGGGTCATCTGGTCTTGAGTGGGCGTTGGGAGCTGCACCCCCTGAGCTCTTTGCCCCATCCCCCATGCAGCTTCGTATCGCTTGCATTCCTGCTTGAAGATCCTGTTCAAGTCCGTGTCACATAGTTGCACGTCTGGCGTGAGGCCTCCTGGGATGATGAGCAACACGTAATGTTTCATGTGCGCTGCCTCATGTACCTTCGCACCGAGATGCCCCGAAAACTTGTCCAGGAATAATATTATGCAGGGTGTTTTAGCTGTGATGCGTTCCCCTGGCCGCAGGTTCTTTTCGATGAACTGCACGACGTTTTCCTCCTTGTAGCTGCCCTTGTCTGTGTACTGCACCGTTATCCTTCTGGGCAAGCGTTTGCAACTTTACCCCCACCCCCGGTTTCAACAGCACTCACAGTGCTCCAAGTCATTTGTGTTTTTTGTTGTTGTGATGGGACGGTCGAGGGTCAAGGAACGGAGGGGAGGCGGATGGAAAAGGTCTCTGCATCCTTCGTGTGCGCACCTCCTCCTACTCCTCCTGGTCCTCCTCTTCCGCCTCTCCCCCTCCTGCCCCTTCTGTTCCCCCTCCCCCTCCCCCGCTGGTCTGCCACTGAGCCTACCACGAATGCGCAAGCACTCGAATAACGCCGTTGCTCAGTCAGATACTCGATTCAACCGTTTGCTGTGGAGCTGTTTACTCTTGGAGGGCCAATGCCGAGGGCTTCCCCGAGCCTTCGCGGCAGGAGCTCGAATGCCTCGAGAGATTCGAGGGTACGGAGCAGAGGATGAAGAGAAGGAGGATAGATCAGAAGAAGCGAGGAAGAGTAGGACGGGAGATGAGGGGAGGACAGATCAGGAAAAGGAGTGTGAATTCAGGAGGGGGGCAAAGGGAACAGGAGCAGCAGGAGGAAGGGGAGGAGGAGGAGGAGGAGGAGGAGGAGGAGGAGGGGGAAGACAATGATATAGCAGCGGGCGGGAGGCTGGAAGGAGAAGGGGCGAGATGGGGAAGGCATGGCCCACAGCCATCTGCACTCGCAGCGAAGGCGCCGCCCCAACATACCGCCCGCCGTGTCCGGAAACCTGCCGCAGCACCGATGTATGCGACGGATCCGAAACGCGGGTCGAGTGGAGGGTGCTCCAAATATGTGTGTCTCTTTGTCGTATTCCTTGGCCTCCACGGCTGGCGTCTCCTGATGTCCTTTTCCGCGGAAGACGAACTATTCCCGGACGGTCCCCCGACGCACAGTGAAGGTGCCATGGACCTATGGCGCCTCAGGCGCGCGGGACGATCCAGCCATGCAGCCGACCTTTTTGGGATGACCCCCGTCGCAGAACCCGATACGACGACCACCCCCAAGCCAATGCCACAGAATCCAACGACTTCCGTGCAGCGCAAGCCAGCATCCCAGGGAGCGCAGCGCAAACCAGCGTCCCAGACGATGCAGCAGAAACCCGCATCAAAAACTGCGAAGCAGAAGCCATCGGGACATGTGGTGAAGCAAAAGCCTTCTGCAGTAGATGAGGCGGGAATTCACGACCCAATGGACGACGCGCCGTCTGATCTCCAAGCATCCCTGGACGGCCACCTCCCGCGAGATGAGGGCATGCTCACATCCAAAGCCAAAGATATGGTGAGCCTGCTGAAGGCGACGGCGGCCAACAGCAAAGGTACGAACGCACCAAGCAGGCTTGAGTGGCGAAAACTTTGTGCAGAAGCAGCGGTAGAACTTGGTTACATAAACCAGGCGGTCAGAGATATTTACGGCATCACCGACGTGAACTCTGCGAAATTCCGCAGGGTTCGGGAAAACATCCGCAGCTGGAAAAAACAGTTCGAGGATGGGAAACTGGAGATTGGTGAATCTCCTGTGGGCAAGGCCGCTTCGATGAAAGACGTACGATTGAAGGGGGCCGGCTCTAAGTGGGAAGTCCCCGAAGTACGTTCCAAGTTGCACGAATGGTGGCTTGTTGCTAAGGTCGGCGGCGCGGCAAAAGGGGTCGCAAGAGGGGGGTCGCCCTCTGACAGGGGGGGGGTTCTTAGAAGCCCTCGGCGGCTTCGAAGAAGGCTTGTTAGAAGCCGCCGAGGGCTTCTAAGAAGCCCCCCGCCCTCTAAGAGGACGACCCCCCTCGCGCCACCCCCTTTGGGGCGCCGCTGATAAGGATGCCCTCAAGGTCCCTATCACCACGTCGATGCTACAGGCGCAGGCGAAGAAGTTCTTGCAAGAGTATCGTCAAAATGGTGGGAAGAAAAAAATCGACCTGGATGGTAGCAGTGGCCGTAAATTCGTATACCGCTGGGCGAGATACTACCGCATCTGCCGTCGAACATTGAACAAGCACTACGAACTTTCGAAGTCCGAGCGGGAGGCGAGGCTCAGCGTGATCTGGAGGAACGCTCTGAAGGTGTCTGTGTTTTTCGGCGGGCCTTCAGAAGTTGTGGCCGAAAACTACGATCAGACGCCCCTGCACGTGCAAGAGGCGATAGCAGCGGGCAACCAGAAAACGTGGGCCAGAAAGGGCGAGGAGTACATCACCGCCGTTCAGAACTTTCATGCTTCGCGAAGTCGTTACACCTTCTTCTGCGGAGCCTCCAGCAGGCCTCATACAGCGCCTGCTGGCACCCCCGAGGTGGTGTTCAAAGGCAAGGGGAAGCGGAACGCGGTGAAGCCGCCGAAAGGGACCACAGGGTCAAATGAAGGGGGGGCAGGGGAGCTGGAGGAGGAAGAGGGGGAGCGGGACCACAGGAAGAAGCATGAAAAGGAGGGGAGCTGGAAGAAAGTGCAGCAGGAGTGTCTCGGGCGAGTCTCGGCTTCGGAGGCCCGCACAGCCCGCGCCGCAGCACAACTTGTTAACATCGTCTGATGACGCTTGGCTGAAGGCCGTCTTGGGCCGCCTCTGGGCCATCTCTGGGCCATATTGGAGGCCTCTTGGGACGTCGGGAGGACTGAATCGTATGCGAATGCGATGCCAGCACTGCCGGTAACAAGATCTAAACGAATGCCGTGGTACCCCAAACCCAGATAGGCAGTCTATTGCACCGGTTACCTGCCCAGCTCAACGGTGCAACTGGGCTTGCATCTTTGCTGCAAGCGTGTTGCATGCCATGTTGCTGCCGCTGCGTTGCATCGAACCGTGTAATACCATGTCTGTCCGCCTCCTCCTCCTCCTCCTCCTCCTCCTCCTCCTCGTTTTCCAACTCCCCTTCCGCCCTCCCCCATTCTCCCTGTGGTCCCTTTCGGCGGCTTCACCGCGTTCCGCTTCCCCTTGCCTTTGAACACCACCTCGGGGGTGCCAGCAGGCGCTGTATGAGGCCTGCTGGAGGCTCCGCAAAAGAAGGTGTAACGACTCCGCGAAGCATGAAAGTTCTGAATGGCGGTGATGCACTCCTCGCCCTTTCTGGCCCACGTTTTCTGGTTGCCCGCTGCTATCGCCTCTTGCACGTGCAGGGGCGTCTGATCGTAGTTTTCGGCCACAACTTCTGAAGGCCCGCCGAAAAAAACACAGACACCTTCAGAGCGTTCCTCCAGATCACGCTGAGCCTCGCCTCCCGCTCGGACTTCGAAAGTTTGTAGTGTTTGTTCAATGTTCGACGGCAGATGCGGTAGTATCTCGCCCAGCGGTATACGAATTTACGGCCATTGCTACCATCCAGGTCGATTTTTTTCTTCCCACCATTTTGACGATATTCTTGCAAGAACTTCTTCGCCTGCGCCTGTAGCATCGACGTGGTGATAGGGACCTTGAGGGCATCCTTATCAGCGGCGCCCCAAAGGGGGTGGCGCGAGGGGGGTCGTCCTCTTAGAGGGCGGGGGGCTTCTTAGAAGCCCTCGGCGGCTTCTAACAAGCCTTCTTAGAAGCCGCCGACGGCTTCTAAGAACCCCCCCCCCTGTCGGAGGGCGACCCCCCTCTTGCGACCCCCTTTGCCGCGCCGCCGACCTTAGCAACAAGCCACCATTCGTACAGCTTGGAACGTACTTCGGGGACTTCCCACTTAGAGCCGGCCCCCTTCAATCGCACGTCTTTCATCGAAGCGGCCTTGCCCACAGGAGATTCACCAATCTCCAGTTTCCCATCCTCGAACTGTTTTTTCCAGCTGCGGATGTTTTCCCGAACCCTGCGGAATTTAGCAGAGTTCACGTCGGTGATGCCGTAAATATCTCTGACCGCCTGGTTTATGGAACCAAGTTCTACCGCTGCTTCTGCACAAAGTTTTCGCCACTCAAGCCTGCTTGGTGCGTTCGTACCTTTGCTGTTGGCCGCCGTCGCCTTCAGCAGGCTCACCATGTCCTTGGCTTTGGATGTGAGCATGCCCTCATCTCGCGGGAGGTGGCCGTCCAGGGATGCTTGGAGATCAGACGGCGCGTCGTCCATTGGGTCGTGAATTCCCGCCTCATCTACTGCAGAAGGCTTCTGCTTCACTACATGTCCCGATGGTTTCTGCTTCGCAGTTTTTGATGCGGGTTTCTGCTGCATCGTCTGGGACGCTGGTTTGCGTTGCGCTCCCTGGGATGCTGATGCTGGCTTGCGCTGGATCCTGTGGCATGGGCTTGGGGGTGGTCGTCGTATCAGGTTCTGCGACGGGGGTCATCCCAAGAAGGTCGGCTGCATGGCTGGATCGTCCCGCGCGCCTGAGGCGCCATAGGTCCATGGCACCTTCACTGTGCGTCGGGGGACCGTCCGGGAATAATTCGTCTTCCGCGGAGAAGGACATCAGGAGA